AAAAAAAGTTTTATAACAACATATCTTAAATATAATTAAATTTCTTATTTCATACACTTTTTGATATAATAGTAAAGCAAATGCCAAATGTTTGGACGACGAGTCGAATTTAGTTTCAAATGAATACAACTTTCAGAGAAGCAATCGATTGCCGGGAGAACAATATCCGCCTAATAAACAGTGTCAGTTAGCACTGGGATCACAATATAAGGCCTACACCTCATCTAAGGAGCCATTCAATGTAATTTTCAAATCAAAATTCTGGTTTTTGTGTGCATTTTATTTATATTGTATTGAATTTGTAATAACATTGTATTGTATTCATCGCAAGAATTTATGATTGAATATTGGAATTACAAACACATGTTTTATACAACAAATTCTTTATTTACTAAAAATATATGAATATTTTATAGGATGTATGTCGTGAGTTGTGGTGCTTATCTGGTTCGTGGGCAACACCAGCACATCCAGCACTGGAAGGCAGTATGTGTGCGGACGGCAAGAAATGCATTCAAGGCATCTGTCAGAGCGCCTCCTCATATGTGGCCAGACGTTCAATAGAGAACAGAGACTCTAATCGACTCATGAGGTATGAGGCCACAGACAATGAGTCCAACCGAATGGCACAGACCTCAGCACCAAATGATAAGAAACGCTCAAAAGGGTTCCCAAGAATATTCATGGATAGCATCAAAGGATTCCTTCGCTCCGCAACTAATGGCGCCCAAGACTTCTTCAAACTCTTTACCGGATGAGCCATTCATCAGAGTTATAGAGATTTGAATTATTATTAACCAATTTATACTAAGAGAGAATATTTTCTATAATTAAGAATTAATATATTAAATATTGATTTACAACCATAAGAGAATACAGTTTAACAATGTTAGCTTAAATAAATAATATATTGCTTTGAAAATATGGTAAATATTATTTTTAGTCAACAATTTTAGTCAACAACTTATGTTTGAAGAATAAAGTCAAATATGAAATCATATTTTTGTATACAAGATGTACAAATATTTTATAATTAATCAAATAACTCTAATTAGCAAATAAAGACAATGTTTTATTAAATAATAAATTTACAAATTCATCAAAACTTTAATGAAAAACCAAAAACTTTCTAAAATATTTGAATGATTTAAGCTTAAATAATACTTTGTTACTTATTTTGAACATAAAAGTTAATTATAGCATTTCCAGTCAATTAATGTGTAAATACTCTACGATTTAATTTAAAGCATTTTCGTAAACAAGAATTGAACCGAAATAATAAAAACTCTGTTTTAATATCACAATTATTATGCTTTCATTTGTAGTGTTGACACAAATTAAGGCCAATTCTGTAAAATGCTTGCAAATCCACTAAAACTGTGTGTCAGGTGTTACGCGTTTGAATTCCTCATCAGTGAGTGGTTCCCACTTTTTGCCCAAAATCTTTGATATCTCGCTAAATGTGCGCTCATATGATGTGGAGTTGGTTTTGAGCCAAAGATAGTATTCGTCCGACCATTCAGTCTGTTGTTTCCAATCAAACCTTTTAATGATACCATTCTTTCGGACTACAAAACGGCTCAAGTTTTGAGCGTTGCTTCCGATCACCAGTAGAGTAGCCGTCGATATGAGCTCACGTATTATGAGTGTCCGTAGATTAGGACACATTTGACACAACAATACCTAATAATCATAACAATTGCATTTCAATCGATACGTTGCCGTTCAGTATAAATAAAACTCAATCTTATCGCTAAATTATATTATTAAAGTCATTCATTTTATTCATTCCGTAAGTCTCGCCATTCTCTCACTTAATGTATGGATTAATCGTTAGGTTTAATGATTAGTAACAATGGTTTAATGATTGTGTGAAATGAAGGAAAGTTGGGTTGGGTTCGCAATCTGAAGACTCAACCATTTCTTTCTAATAGACTAATAGATTATGGCTTTCAGATGTGATTACAATGAATGCCATTATTGATTGATTAGTTTCGCTAAAATTAATTGAAATCAAGTCATTAATGATGTGTTAATTAAAGAACTTTATAAAACACTTTTATTAGCAAAATTATCGCTTAATTAAGAAATCTGATAAAAAACAATTATGGTACAATTTTTTCTATTACTATATAAGCACTGCTAACTCAGAATTCAATGACTTTAAGTATAAGTAACGGGGAAAAAAGTGTTGATTTAGTGTCGAGATAATACAAGTAGTGTTTAAATAGACATAAAATGTTAATTACGAGAGAAGAGTCGCTTCTTTGTGCGAACCTCTGAGGCAAATGAAATCGTGGCAAACCGTGAAACGCCAAGTGCTCTAAGTTTGCCGAATACATGGAGACCGCCATAAGTATGGACTCGCACTTCATTCTGGAGAGAGGGCTGTCATATATGATTGATTTGACGGATTCGCTCTCTTGCCATACAATCTGTACATACGTTAGGAATAAATAAATAAATAATAAAATTGAAGAAAAATTGCCTAATATTTGCGCAAAAAATAATATTCCGCTGTTTTCTGTAGCTGTGATTTACTCCGCGAATTGGATTTGAAATGAAAATACAAAGAAAATCTAAAATAAATAAATAATAAAATTGAAGAAAAATTGCCTAATATTTGCGCAAAAAATAATATTCCGCTGTTTTCTGTAGCTGTGATTTACTCCGCGAATTGGATTTGAAATGAAAATACAAAGAAAATCTGACGTATGAGATGATATAACGCCTTTTGGTTTAGCAATCATTACAATACAGTCTCTCCTAAAGGATAACATTTAAGATCAATAAAAATCTAATTGATGTGCGCTTTAAGTGTCACAATAAAACTCAGGGCTTAAGGGGGGATACGTCGGGAATGGTAGGCAATGCTAGGGATGACAAATAGTATTAGTTTAGAAATTTCTAAAACAAACCTTTCTAACTGTTTGTTGAATCGAAAATACTTTTTGTGAATTTAATATATTATATAAATTTATCAAATATATACAGTTATGTCCAATAACTTGATAAGAAATGCAAATACCAGGCAAATAAACCTTGAATTTGATTATTAGTGAAGCAAAAACTTAATTAATTCCGTTATTATTGATAGCAATAAATCAATATTTACTTAAAGTGAACATTTATTAATTGATTTTCTATTCATTCATTATTATTACTAATAAAAAGTGTCAAATAA